TATATATATTATTTAAAAACAAAAATTAATCTTACCTTTCACATTGTTATATTTTTTACCGTCTTAATAAAGCGTTTCTTGATGGCAAAATGAAATAAAATAAAGCCTTTCTTTCTGTTTTTTTTAAACGTCAGAGTTTCTAAACCTTCCGGGTTTTTTTTTTTTATAGTCGTCTTTAGGTTAGCTTTGGACCACTTTAGGATTAATCCTTTTTCAATGCATTAAGATTTTAAGAAGTACTCCTATATTGACCTACCCATGTGACCTATATGACAACTTACTAGCGGAAAAAAATTAGTAAGCGAGTTATTTATATCATTAATAATTTAAAAGACTTTTAAATGTTGATTAATAGATTTTTTATATAAGTAAATTTAAAAATAGAGTTATATATAATATATATATATATAAATTGATTAATTTAATTATATTTATATTATATTTTAATAATTAAATTAAATTAATATTAAAAAATAATAAATTAAAAAATATAACAATCATTTTTCAAAATATTTAAACACGAGCAATCTGGTGGATTATGAGATTATCCATGATTCCATGCTGTGTAGATTGCACCTGCCCCTTGTCTACATGACCAAGTAATCCTAAATGGATCAAAAGGAAAATGGAAATTAAGTAATCAATATATAATTTTTAAGAACTCTTAACGTGATCAAATTTTACATAATTAATACAATCCAAGCAGTTTTAAAGAATCAAAAGAATATAATTACGCACACAAGCTGTAAAAATCAAAACAAGCGCGGGGAATTTTTATATCTAGCTAGGACATCTTGCATTCCGGAGGAAGACCTTGAGGAAAGCGCTTGATGTCCGTGCAGTAATTGTAAATCATGTAATTCTTCTGCACCCACTTCAGTCTTGCCTGTCTTGTGGTGTCAAGTTCTTCAGAGAACCAAGCATTGCTGCCGGAGGAGGTTGAAGAAGAGCAAGACGATGCTCCATTGTTAAAGATACAAGCATTAGCATTGTAATTCGTGTAGGAAGCAGTGAAAGGAGCTTTGCTCCAGTCTGTCTTCACCAGGCCACCCCTTGTTGCCCAGTCATCGGCGTTCCACAAGCTGGAGTAGACTCTCATGGGTTGGCTTTTGGGAAAAGGAATACCTTTGGATTCCAAGTTCTTGAACTCTCTAATGGGTGTATCATCTACTGAGAAACTGAAAAACAGAGGAAAACAGAGTTAATTGAGTCATTTGCAATTCCCGAATAAGGAAAAGAGAAAGGGAAAATGGAATTTAAGAATCTAGAGTAATTAGTCTGTGTATACTCACATGATGCGTTGGGGATTCCAGAGGATGGAATAGGTATGAAAATCAGCAGTTGGATCGAACCAGAGGTAGAACTGCTGCTCTCTGTTTCCATTTCCTTGGCAGAATACGTTAGTATGAAGAATATAAGGATCACCACTCAAATTTCCCAAGAACTCAAAATCAATCTCATCCCATGTAGACCCTGGCGACTTCATCTGTATATAAATATACAGTATAGTTAATTACAGGAACTAACTGAACCCAATAGTTATAGAAAATGAAAGCTGGGATAGTGTCATGGGACTTACATAGAAAGTAGTAACGGTGCCAGCAGAGTTTCCGGGGACAAGTTTGAGCTGCATGTCAATCTTGCCATAGAGATACTGATTTTTGGATTGGAAGCCTGAGCCAGAGGCTTTGTCAAGGGAGAGGGTGAGAAACTGGCCATTATTAAGGATCTTACCACGACCATCTCCCCAAGTAATCTCAACATCTTGGTAGAGGTTGCCTGCACCGGAGGCGGCCATGAAGTAGCAAGCAAGGAAAGCGAACAGAACAGCTGAAGAAGTAACGAAGGAAGTCATATTGAATAGTATTGTAGGAGGAGGAGGAAGTGTTTGTATTTGAAGTGAGGAGAAGGGTATGGGGTGGGAGGCCTTTTATAGGGAACAATTTCAATTTTTGAATGAGGTGAAAGGGATTGGTAGGTTCAGAAGGATGCGTACGTGAGCTGTGTCCAGCTGGGTTAGGAGTGAAAAAGGATAGGACTGGTTACCTGGGGTATGATATCAGACGCGGTTTGAGGGGACGGGAAGCGGCCCCGTTTCTCACCTTCCCTACACCAAATACCCAATCCCTGAAATTATTAGTGGCCTGGGGCCTGGGTTAGGTGAGATCATACATGCATGAAACCTAAAACCAACCAAGACC